AGATTACAATAAGGAAAAACAAAAATCTTTGTTGACATATCGCGGTAGTACAAGCTGATTAAGAGAAGTACCTAGATTGTAACATTTTGAATTGCCCTCTAGGTGTGCTTGAGAAGGTACGCGAAATCATTTTGATTTTGATTAGTCTTTCGAGTACATTTTATGACTTATAGAAATTTGTGCTGATAAAGCTGAACGTCTGTTTGTATGTCTGTATATCTGTATGTAAGTATGCCACGAATAGAATGTTTTATATTTCTAGGATTCGGACCGAACTTTTCACATATACACTTCGAGGCGGGGGGGGGGGAGATGTCGTAGGCTACTTTTCCTCAATGATCGATATCGATTTTATCGATTTTTATCGATTTTGTGGGAAGTTGAGCCACGGGGCTGGGAGTGCACACCCATACAGTCGAAGGGATACCTCCGGCGTGCAAACGGCGCGAGTCTGCCACTTCGCGCTCTGGAGTGCTCCGGAGCCCTGCCATTTCACCCATTTTGGTGCATCGGGCTTTCTCAAATCTGGCGCCTCTCCGGAGCAGAGATTTGCGCGTCTCGGAGAGGGGTTCCATTTGTTCACGGTGACGTCACGGTGACGTCACAAGAAGGCCGAATGGGACCTCTCTCCGGACGCGCAAATCTCTGCTCCTGAGATGCGCCAGATTTGGGAGAGCCCCGGAGCACCAAAATGGTGAAATGGCAGGGCTCCGGAGCGCTCCAAAGCGCGAAGTGGCAGACTCCCGCCGTTTGCCCATCGGAGGTATCCCTTCGACTGTTTGAGCAGGGAGGCTTGGAGAACAGCACCTATAATATACTTAATCAGTAGTCTAAGTTTGTCAGTACACGTTATCAAAATATCGTTAATAGGAAGATATGGATGAAACAAATTAGCCTATACTCTATTTGGCAGAACTACGATCTAATACATATGAACGTCTAATGTGGTAAGTCTTCAAGTCTCAATTCCTCTGATAGTCTTGCTGCCTCCTGCACGTGGTGCTGGCGCCTTTGTGAATCATTTTGATACCAGACCAAAGTGCCGCTTCGCGGCACTTTAGTCTGACTGTGTGTGGAATGGGACATGCGTAGAAGTTTTGTGGAAAGCTTTTTACATAGTAGTTAGTTATTTCTCGCAGACATCTGTCGATGGTAACAACAACTTTCAATAAGTAATTTTTTAGTAAGTTCTACGTGTTTGATGCTTCTGCAATATAATTCTAACACAGAACTTCTTGGCGCCTCTGCTTCGCTTATCAAGGGCTTGAGACGGTCATAAGCTGTTTGCAAAGATGTAAAATGCAACTTCGTCGATATTGCTCTTGTGAAGGCGGTGGCGTTGAATCATAGTGTCCAAAGCGGCAAAAAGCTGCGGTGCGCAGCTAGCTTTGAAGTATGAGTTTTTGCCAGGCCAAATTTTTGGAAAATAGAAAGCCCGTCTGCCATAATGCGCGCCGCTTCACTTCACGGCCTCTAGCGAAAACACCTCTTCTTTCTTCTCGAACGGCTTACCATTGAAGGGCCGAATTTGCGACTGCTCCTCTTCTTCTTACGTATACTTTTCCCCCTCTGAAGTTTCAGTCAAAATATTAAATGCGTGCCTACTCAGCCTGTGTGACCTCACCCTCCAACCTCTTTCTCTTATTACTTGGTTTTTCCCGATAATTTTTTACAAAATCATTTTGAAAGTTTTCCCTGCTTTTTCTCATCTCAGCAATATAGGGCATTCGAAAAATCGTGACGATGGCGACCGCATCCCGAACGACACTTTCGGTAGCCGCAGTATTACTCGGTTCCTCTAGTCGAATTATTCTCTGCTTACGTGTAAGCATGCAAATCTTCACAAAAACTTTTCTGTCTGGAGCATTTATAAGAGCCCAAAAGTGACTGAACTCATTTATTGGGCATAATATTAGGTGAGTCCGAAAGTTTTGTCGGTTTTTTTCAATCCATCGGCAAACACGCTAGAATGAAGATAAACAAATGCTTCAAAATGTATCCGATGCAGAATTTTTTTCTCTTTCAAGATGCTAAGCTCCCATTGTTTTTCCTTGCGAGAGTGACGAGATATTTCTTGGAAACTACAATCAGTCGTTTTCACCATGTCCAACTTTCGCTAATTTTTAAAGTTTTTGTATGAGACTTTTGGAGGAGCCCTAATACCAGTAGATAAGGCAATCTTTTTGCTAACTTATGCAATTTTTTCTTTTCTTCAGCTGCTCTTTCAGATTTTTGCTGAATAATATGAATAATTTTCCAAAAGTCTTGTGTTTTGGAAAAATTGTGTAACCTGTTATTGCCCCAAACACTGCAAAACCTACACAACACTGAGGTTTCATAACAAGAATTTCACTACCGCTACTATTACAAAGCAAATGAGCGATTTTCGCTTCAAATTATGAGGATTTTGAAACATAGGTTACGTCAATGCGCGCTCCTGAAATTGAGAAATACTGCGATTTTACCCATAAATTTCATCTGTTTCGGCAAAAAAAGACGAGAGGTAGAAAGAGGAGAAAAATTTGCATCGAATGGTGACTGAACTGTTCAACATTTTATGTTCTACGAGGTTAAAATAGGCAGAATGTAAAATTTGGCTGCTTCAAAAAATAAATCGTAGAAATTCTGAGAGGCAAGCCGTTGGGATATTAAAAATTGCTTCTGTTGGCAAAAGGTTTGCCCTATCTGGAGGTTATTAGGGCTCCTCCGAAAGTCTTATACAAAAACTTTGAAAATTAGCGAAATCTGGACATGGTAAAAACGAGTGGTTGTAATTTTCAGCGAATATCTCATCACTCTCTCATTGAAACACAATGGGAGTTTAGCTTCTTGAAAGAGAAAGAAATTCTGCATCGGATGCATTTTGAAGCTTTTGTTTATTTTCATTCTAACGTGTTTGCCGATGGATTGAGAAAATCGACAAAACTTTTAGACCCACCTGATAGTATTTAGACACTGGAAGTGACTAAGGTGAGTTGAGGTGATACCTTTTTGTATGAGTGTTTTGAAGCGCAAAAAGCAGTGAAATCCGTCGTACGATTTTATAAATGACTTATTTAGAATTTATGATCGGTTTTCGGACGGCTAAATCCTCAGAAAAAGTTAGAAGGTCTTCCTACGCAGCGCTTAAACTCCTCACGCTCCTCTTCCCTCTTTCCTACTTGTTTTCCTTACCCTTAAAGGCATCTTTTTTTTACGAAAAGAAACCGTAAGAACATATTTCTAACAGAGTGCCGTTTTAGCTTTTCTTCAGAAACCATAATTTGCATCCCTTTAAAGTTTCATATGGAAGATATCCCATGCGTACCCAGCAATGACCACAGCGTAACGATTAGAAACTTTACTCCTCCCTAGAGTGTCAATAAAGCTTCGTATATTACTTCCCTTATCTTTTCAGAAAAAATTGTGTACCACAATCTATATATAAAATTCCTTTGCATTTCCAAGCATTAATTACACGGTAACTTTACCCTGTATTGCTCTACACCTTTTTATGTCAGCTAGAGTGTCCGCGTGACTGAGTAAGTAGAAAATTGGCAAGGCTTAAAAGAAGCTCAGACAATTGCTTTATTCTTCATCAACATCCCCATTTACATCTCTGGGGAGAAAACTACATCCGTAGCTCAATACCTGTAAAAAAATCTATTATAACAAACTGACTAGGCAAGTAAAAATCACCCCTGCTTGTCAGTGAAGATTGCAAAAGCAGGAAATCGACAACGATAAAAGTGAAGACGATTTTTGATAATTTTTAATACATTAGCACCCCGTTCATCTCCCAGTGGAGAAATGAGCTCCTCTTGAACCTCCAGAATTTGAGCGTAATTGCAAAGAATAGAATAACATAGTGAAGATGGCCACACAATCAATTGCATATAAACGGATACCAGTGGCGTACCCAGGATTTCGGCTCGGAGGGGGGGCGACAAAAAATTTTTTCCGATGAAGGTGCGCGGCGTTAGCCGCGCACTCAGAAAAATTTTTTGGTACGCTTCTCAAAATTTTCGCGGCCCCAACGCCCCCGAAAAAAAATTTTTTATAAGGCTAAATTGAATTTTTAAAAATTTTTAAAAATTATTTTTATTACTTACAAGTATAAATAAGTCTTTTGCACATTTTTATAACTCATGTAAGTAACTTTCAAAAATTTCGCGACCCATTCTCGGGGGGGGGGGCGCCCCCCTCCCCTCCGCCCCCCCCCCCCTCGGTACGCCACTGACGGATACTGAGTGGTAGAAGTATCAGTAATTTACATGTGCGTTGATCCATCACGTCAGTTTCCAAAAAGGAGGACGGGTGTGCTTGCTCAGTCATCAAATCAAAAGTGGTGGTCATCACCATTTACGAATACAGCACGACCGAGCTCGTTGATTGCCAGCAGATGATGACGTCACCACAGCTGGAGTGGGGTGGAGGAGGGGGGGGGGGGGTAGGATGATGAGTCATCTTGTTTACGACTTCTGGCTTCAGACATACGCGGCGAGGGGGGGGGGGGAAGGCGACATACCCGTGCGCTTTATCATAAAGAGATAGTGAACGTAGTGTGTGATTACACGGTGCCCAACTATCACGGTCGTGCTGCAACCCCTTAGAATTGACCAAACCTAGGAAATGAGCGTGTAGTTTACACAGTTTTTTTCCTGCTTCTTCTTACTGTTATTTGGCGGTGTGGAATCGCTTGGTATGCTACAACCCTTCACGAATCCGTATTAGTCAATTAATCATGATTCTTCAGTCTTGCTTCTGGTATTCATTGAAGATCAGCAGTGCACGGCTCATGATTCGTGTACTATGTAAAACAATCTATGTCTCACCTAGCCTTGCTTGTAGAAAGGCGCAGAGACGCCTTTCAAAAGGGCTGCGTCAAAACGATCGTCGGGCTAGATTTCGTGAATAGACCATAATTACTGGCAAAAGAATAAGCAATTTTGACATATTCTTGCTTGAAACCTGATATCTCGCTGTGAGATATATTTGTTGTTGCATGATTGAGCAAGTCAAAACTCTATCTAAATTTATGTAGTCCAGTGATTCAAAGTTGTAATCTCGTCCTAATACTTTGATAATATTTTCTGAGCTTCCTGCACTCTCTCACGTTCTTCCTCGTCTATTGGTGTAATGGCAAGTAATTTGTTGCAGTACTTTTTGACGTTCTCCTGAAATATGGCGATCATGGAGATTTTTTGTCTCGTATTTCACTGTTCTACCTTGTCACTTTTTGCATGGTAAATTCGTATGATACAGATTAGATTCTCTATCCATATTGGTTCTACTTCTTCTGCAGCCAAAAAGTCGTTCAATGCTTCTTCCATTGTAGCAGTGGGAGGTGTGGCATAGAATATAGCAGCGGCCTCAATATCAATCTCATAGACTTGTGATCCAGCCGTAATAAGGAAAACCGCCTCACTTTTCGTTCCACCCACGAAAGGCTAGCGACTGAAAACGCGTAACGCCCACGCATATGTAGAATTGAATGTTCCTTAGGATTTACAGCTAAAGCCTTATCCAAAAGATCCTGGAAGTAGAGTTTTGGATGTGTTGGCTCATATTACGATGATTGCATCGCGGCACCCTTAAAGGCAGCGTCCGAGCAAAAATGAAAATGTAGCGTACAAGGGCTCTCGGCCTGGTGGAGCTCTTGCCCATGCGGCATTGCACCACTTTGCTTCCGAAGCGAGAAAACCGCTCAGAAGTGGCGACCGGCCCGCACCGGCGACCTGCACGCCCCTTCAATCGATAGCCAGGGTACGTTCTCGAGCACAGTCAAGATGTAGGGTCTCAGCACGACTCTATGTCTTAACCTCGGCGGCAAGCGTCCATATTCAAAATCAACTGCTTCTGGAAAAGCCCTCTTTCGACATCTTTGTTCTCTGCAAGCTGCATTTTCGGAATTAGCGGGAAGAATAAGGCCAGGTAAGCGAAAAAAATTTTGTTCGAGATCTTGCCCGGACGCTGCCTTTAAAGGCAGTGTCCGGGCAAAAACTCGATTTCTAGAAAATCCACTTACCGGGGGTTACCCGCAACGCTGAATCCGAAAATACACATTAAAAGGCGACATGCGTTTTCCAAAGCCTTACAGTTTGAAATTCGACGGTCCCCCCCCCCCCCCCCAAGGCTGGGACGCAGAGTCGCGGCGGGACCCTAATTGGTGGCGTGGCGGAATACGTTTTGGTATACACCAAGCTGGTACCACAACGGGTATAACTGTTTATTAGATAGTAGCGGAGCAGCCGCTGACTATTAACAGTGAATAATGCGGAACAGCCGCTGACGATAGTGGTATTAATCGAACCAACACCAGAACTGAGTATTCAGGCCCTTTTATGCCACTATTTTGGGCGTGGATAACCTGAATGCTCACTTCTGGCAAATAACAGTATCATACAGAATCAAGGATTGCCTACATGAAAGTAGGCGCCGCCAAGTAGACTATCAAGCACAGTGGAGGGGTGACCTGGCGGCTTAAGTGGTGAGTGAACAGTAATGTCTGTCAACGACAAACTAGTGGATACTGAATATAGCATACAATATGACTCTACAATGGTAAAGGTTGTAGATTATTTGGATAATCTACGACAGTGGGGCGCGCGACGGAAGGCGCGTAAGCAAGAAAATATAAATCACAAAAGTTACACGTAGGTTACAAAAGTTCATCACAACATTAGCTAAGTCACGTATATCACATGATTTCTGTAACGGGTTCGTTGTCTTCGTCTGGGGTTCGTAAGGTGGTCGGCCATCATGTCGTGGTCGGCCTTCGGGGCCAGGCGCGACGCTGAAGCGAGACATCCCGGTTGAGCATCAGTAATCATCTTCACGAATTGTCCTTGAGCCCTTGGTTTTCGGCGTTTGCGATCGAATTGTTGTCCACGAGATGCGCTGTTACGTTGGCAGCTTTCGTGTTTCGTAGATGACTTCTCAGGTAGTGCGAACATATTCGTCGGATACGGACGACTGAGCTTCTTTGCTCGGCGTTTGGAAGTTTTGCGCTCAGCTTGTTGGACGCTTCTAACTGGCTTCTGCTTCATTGAGTTTCCTTTACTCACTGGATGATTGTAGGAGACCATGGTGATTGCGGTGTTCTGCGAATGCTCCTCCATCTTGATTCCATATATCGGACTGCTTCCGGAGATTGCATGACCGAAAACAGTAGGGGTGAGAATAAGTCCTGACGGAAGAATTGTACATGGTCGATCCCTCAAGATGAATTGATCGATCAGATCTTGACCAATGAGAATGTCCGGTGTGAACCGTCGCGTCTTCAGATCCGGTTGTGCTACTCGAATCTTTCTTTTTCGAATCAACCTTCTATCCTCTGCGCTTAGCCAAGCTGTACTCATCGCGGAAGTGAGTGTTGACTTTGTGTGTATCTTCACGGCTTTGATAGCGACTCCAGCAGACGTTGTTCTCAGTGTAAGCGGGACTTCACTGGATGTGAAATGTGCGGTAGATCCTCCGAAGCCGCCAATCTTGAAAGTGGTGTTTTGCAGCACTGGTAAGCCAAGAGCTTGGGTCTTCTTTGCATTGATGAAGCTCTTTTGTGCACCTCCATCAAAGAAAACAGTTACGGGCTTATAGCTGGTCGATGTGTAGTCGTATGCGAGTGCAGTCGCCGTCATCAGTACGTGCTGCATTCCTCTTTCTCGCTTCGCGCTCTTGTTGTGGAGAATTTCAGAATTTTGCGCAAATTCAGGGTTTTTTGGGAGATCTTGATCGCGAGCAGATCGTTGCTGCGATCGCCTGGTTGGGGTGCCTCTAGATGCCGAATAGCTACCCATGCATACGGCAGTGTGGTGGTTTTCGTGGCACTTGTAGCAGAACTGTGAGCTTGTGCAATCACTAATCCTGTGATCGGTTTGAAGACATCTGAAGCACAGCCTTTGCTTCCTGGCTTCATCACGTCGCTCTGCTGGTGTTTGGAATGTTGTGCATCGCGCCGCGTCATGTTGATAACTTCCGCAAATGCATTGAGCACTCGAATCTCTCGAAGATCTATTTCCTTGACCGTAGTTCGAATTGTATGCGATTGAGTCTTCTTCATAGTTCAGCCTTTCATCAGCTTCTTGATCGGAATTAGAGCGTGCCATAATTTTGCAGTCCTCGAATGCTTGGAATGTGTCCATTGAAAGGGCGATTGTTTCCTTGAGAGCTACCGCACTTTCCAGGATTTCTAGTATTTCCTCGGTAGAAAACGGTTTGTCTTCGTTTTGCTCTTTGCTGAACACCTTTTCGCTCAGTGATGTTGGGAATTTTGAGAGTATCAATCGTCTCCACATTCGCCCGTTGTCCAAGGTGACTCCCGCACACTCAATGTGAGTGAGCTTTTCAGTCACATCGGTTAACATTTTTCGGCAGCTACTTGCGTCTTCCTTTGCTCGCGGAAGTTTTTCGAGCTCTGTGATGAGAATATCGGCTATACATCCAGATTTGTTGTATCTTTTGTCGAGAAGTTTCACAGCTTTGTCGTAATTTTTCCCTATCACAGGGATATTGCCAAGCATGGAAGCAGCTGATCCTTTCAGTGCTTGCCTCAGAAATAGGAACTTATCCGTGTTGCTGAGCTGTGAGTTGCTATGGATGAGCGAGTCGAAAATTGTCCAAAATGTTGGATAGTCTTTGTAGTTTCCATTAAACGTTGGAACTTCAAGCACTGGTAATCGGACTTTGTTCTCATTGTGTTGTCTTGTTGATAGACAACTATCCGTGTCGGTGTCCTGCACTGATGTTCGCATCGAGGACGATGCTATTGCATGAATTAGGCTCGATTGTTTTTCCAATTCCCTCATCCGGTATTTTAGCCTATTTGACCAGTTAATAGCTTCCATCTGCACTGTGTTTGCTTCAGTAGAAAGAAATACATCAAGATCAGTCATAAGCCTTTCTCTTTCTGATTGGTCTTTTCTTGATCCGAGAAAGTTCATAGCATTCTGGATCTGTGCTTCCAGGTATTCCAAAAAGCCTTTGAGAGAAATTTCTGCCTCCTCAATTTCTGCCATTTTATCCACAATGACGGCGTTGCATTCCGTTGCCGTTGTTGGGAAGTTGAAGGCTTGATCTATTTCCCTGATTTTGCTCTGGAGGCTGCCAACTGAAGAGCAAGCCACTGTGATGCGTGTTTTGAATCCAGCTAGCTCAGCCATTGTTTGTCTGGTGCGCATGGACTTGATGCGTACAGAAGGCTGATAGGAGTTTGTTTTTGCTAAGCTATAGATTGACTTGATAGCTAGCAGCAAGCTCTTGCTTTGATTGATCAACCGTCAAGGAGCTTAAGAGGGTCGTCTGCTAACTGTGGATTGACCGAGCAGCTAGTTAGACCTCTTTACTAAGCTGTGGATTGGACCTAACAGCTTAGTAAGGTGACTCTTGTACGTGAAAGTGGATGAACCAGCAATCACAGAGTCTTTTTTGGCTATAGGAAGCCAAAAAAAATTCGAGGAGTTCTTTTACTAACTGTGGATGAACCAGTCAGCTAGTTGGAACCCTTTGCTAAGCTATGGATAGGACCTGATAGCTTAGCGAGTTGACTCTTTATGTGAAAGTGGATGGATCAGCAATCACAGAGTCTTTTTTGGCTGTTGGAAGCTAAAAAAAAGTTTCGAGGAGTTCTTTTACTAACTGTGGATGAACCAGTCAGCTAGTTAGAAACCTCTGCTAAGCTATGGATAGGACCTGATAGCTTAGCGAGTTGACTCTTGTATGTGAAAGTGGATGAACCAGCAATCACAGAGTCTTTTTTGGCTGTTAGAAGCCAAAAAAATTCGAGGAGTTCTTTTACTAACTGTGGATGAACCAGTCAATTAGTTAGAAAACCTCTGCTAAGCTATGGATAGGACCTGATAGCTTAGCAAGACTCGTGTTAGTAAAAGTGGATGGACCAACAATTACTAGAGTCGAATATTGGCTAATTAGTAGCCTAGAGTGCGAGGAGTCTGTCGTTAACTGTGGATGAACCAGTCAGTTAGCTAGAAACCTCTACTAAGCTGTGGATAGGACCTGACAGCTTAGTAAGACTCTTGGTCGCGAAAGTGGATGAACCAGCAATCACGAGAGTGGAATAATTGGCTGTTAGTAGCCTGCCACGCGGGACTTTTATCGAATTTCGGTGAGCAGCACCGAAGAGACGATCCGTTGGCCGATGCACCAATTTGGTATACACCAAGCTGGTACCACAACGGGTATAACTGTTTATTAGATAGTAGCGGAGCAGCCGCTGACTATTAACAGTGAATAATGCGGAACAGCCGCTGACGATAGTGGTATTAATCGAACCAACACCAGAACTGAGTATTCAGGCCCTTTTATGCCACTATTTTGGGCGTGGATAACCTGAATGCTCACTTCTGGCAAATAACAGTATCATACAGAATCAAGGATTGCCTACATGGAAGTAGGCGCCGCCAAGTAGACTATCAAGCACAGTGGAGGGGTGACCTGGCGGCTTAAGTGGTGAGTGAACAGTAATGTCTGTCAACGACAAACTAGTGGATACTGAATATAGCATACAATATGACTCTACAATGGTAAAGGTTGTAGATTATTTGGATAATCTACGACATACGTACTCTGGGGTAAAGGATATATGTCGCCGAAAATGAGAGGTCCCGCGCGGACACTGCAGCGGATACTCAGCCTGTGCATGTACTGGACTGTGTATTTGTTGCAGATGTCCACTTTTGGCGATATATAGGTCCCCTACTACCCCGTGCTCTCCCGCAAAGCAGGAATTCGAACAGTTCGGAGGACTCCACCCCAAGGCGTAAGTTTACCCACTTTCCGGTCGTTTTTCTTGCTTTAGTTCGAGCGTTAACATCGCACTTGCGCGTCTGTGTCTAAGGGGTAAAGCTTTGGGATTTCACTGTCTTATAGCAGTGAAATCCCAAAGCCTCCACCTTGCCCGGACACTGCCTTTAAGGGTTGTAGTAATAATAATGACCAACTGTTATGATTAGATGGTGCTAAAAAAGACGTCAGCCTTTCCAGAGACGGCTCATTTATCTAGTTAAGACCATTATTCATACAATATCCATACCTTAAATTTTGCTCCTTCTTCAATCTTCTCTTTTGGCCCATAATAATCCGTAGCTGACCGGACATTATTGCAGCCCATTTTAAAGCGAGGAAGTGGTTCTCATCAGCCTGATGTCCCTCCAGAGCAAAAGCTTTCCCTATAACTCACAGGTATCGAATTGAATTGAGAGGAGCAGTTGAATCAGCTGCGGTAGGCCTTATCTTCTATGTCAATTGTGAGCGTGTTTTTGTTGGTTTTTGGAATAAGCAAGATAACTGCCTCAAACCATAAATATTCACTTTCTTAAATTATAGTCGTTTTTTCGATTTGCTACCCTAATGTAATTATTAGAGTGCAAATAGATCTGATATACTGAACCTATTTTTTGAAAAAGCCTGAAGAGTTGTAGGAAATCGTTTTTGTTTATTTCTGCATATCTTCTAGGATGGTAAATACGCATAAAATTAGGGACAGCGTAAACGTTCCAAACTTATTGCAGAGCTAACTGGATTTTTTTATTTCAGGATTTGCCTGATGCGTCGTATAAAATAGATTACAACACCTGCGGATGTCTGCACTATGATCGATCTGTTTGTCGGCGAGCGTGTTGACGAGACATTCTCATTTGGAATAAATATCTATACATTACTACCCTCAACGATTTTTGGCTATTGTGAAGAATTCTATTTTTAATACCATGGAACACTGTCAAACGCGCTAGTCAAATATTAGGTTGGTGCAAAAGTTTTGTTATTTTTTTGATCCATCGGCAAACACGCTAGAATGAAGACAAGCTAACATGTTGGAATGTATCCTATGCAGAATTTCTTCCTCTTTCCAACTGCCAAACTCCCATTGTGTTTCGTCGCAGGGGTGACGAGATAATCATTGGAATTTGCAACCATTCGTTCTTACCATGGCCAACTTTCACTAGTTTTCAAAATTTTTGCATAAGACGTTCGGAGGTGCCCTAATAGCCCCCAGATAGGGCAAATCTTTTGCAAACTTATGCAATTTTTTCTTTGTTTCAGCTGCTTTTTCAGATATTTGCTAAATAATCTTCTAAAAGTCTTGTGTTTCGGAAAAATTGCATAACCTGTTATTGCACCAAACACTGCGAAATCTATGGAATACCGAGGTTTCAACACTTGATTATTACTACCGCTACCCTTTCAAAGTAAATGAGCGGTTTTTGCTTCAAATTACGAAGATTTTGAAACATAGGTTAGGTCAGTGCGCACTCCTAAAATTGAGAAATATTGCGATTTTCTCCACAAATTTCGCCTGTCTCGGCAAAAAAAGTCAAATATAAGAAGGAGGGAAAAGTTGCATCGAATGGTGGCTGAAGTGTTTAACATTTTATGTTCTATCAGGTTGAAATAGGCTGAATGTAAAATTTGGTCACTTCAGAAAATAAATCGTAGAAATTCTGAAAGAGAAGCCATAGGGCTGCAAAAAATTGCTTCTGTTGGCAAAAGGTTTGCCCTATCTGCTGGTTTTAGGGCTCCTTCATAAGTCTCATACAAAATTTTTGAAAATCGGCGAAAGTTGGACATGGTAAATACGAGTGGTTGTAATTTCCAGCAAATATCTCGTAACCTCTGCAACCAAACAAATGGGAGTTCAGCAGCTGGAAAGAGGAAGAAATTCTGCATCGGATACATTTTGAAGCGTTTGTTTAACTTCATTCTAGCGTGTTTGCCGATGGTTTGAAAAAACTGACAAAACTTTTGCACCGACCTAATATATGAGCAGGAAAGAAAGGCACATAAAGATAGAGGAAAATAGAAAGGCAATCATAATCAAAACGGACTTAATTGCCTAGAGGCGCGCTTTGCGATCGGAGTAGATTAGGCCGCCAATGAAAATTTTTGAAGTCTAATTAGAGGTAAGATTATGGAACCGTTTTCTGCTTATACGAGAACTTTTGCGAATGTGTGATATATGTAAAAAAAAACGTGAAAGGTTATGTGAAGGAGCAGGAACAGTTCCAGCTAATGGAAAAACCTGAGCACGGCATCATCCATAAGTTTTCATGAACATTTAAGTCCTATTTCGAGTCCCCTCACGTGCATGCGCACACCAAATTTGGTGGCATACCACTGTGTTAGTTGCAAACAGCGTTTTCATTGTAAAGCATACCACCAGCATGCCGGGCGCATGCGGGTGCGGCCCTTCTCCTCCCCGAACCCAGCAAAACGATACCCCCTTGCTTTTTCTTCCAGAAACGGCCTCCATCTTGCCCCGCTCCCAACTGTGTCGAATGTGTACAGTGAGTTTGCAAAGTCCTTATTTCTCCCTGTCCTCACCTTCAAAAATCCGTTCCTTTCTCTTCCCTTTATCCTTCGACCGAGCAGAGAGTTGCTGACAAAATTTGGCAAGCCTCCAAAGGACATCCGGTGTCTTTTCGCCCTCGTCGAATCGCTGCAACACGAATAAAACTTTTTTCGCAAAAATTTGAACGCGAAAACCGAAATCGCAACCTTTTTGAGAGTGTCGTAACCGGATTGCACGTTCTCCGTATCAAAAAGCTTGTCAACTTCCGCAAAAGACTGGAAAATCAACAGAATTAATTTACTTGATTGTTGTAGTCTACAAACTTACCATGTCAATAGCTTTTTATCTAAATAAGAAATTGTTCACAAAAGACGACAAACTGAAGTGATTGAGGTTTGGCAAAGAAGCGCTGATTGATAAGACATGAAAATACATTGATGAAAGAACAAAACATATGGAAGAGCGAATTTGTGTCGATTGGGCGCGAAACACCAGTTGAACAAACAACACCTTGGCTGGCAACTAAAGGCACCTTTAGGTCCTACGAAAAGTATAAACCAATATAATGTGAGTACTATCAGATAGGTGTATCTTATGGTTAGAGGGAGCAATTAACATTAGAGTTTGAATCGAAAAAATGACTGCAAAAAATAAGATAGTCAAGCCATCGATTTGCTGAGAACGAGATCAAGTGTTCACACGGTTTTTTTTCATATACCGTTCTCATCAAAATTCAAAACCGTAGCTCTTTTCTAACAGTTCAACAAGGTTTGATAAGAACTGGGGTATTTCAAAAATACTGGAAAAATAAATAAAGTGTCGGCCTGCGCTATGAAGTTTTCTAAAAGATCCTAGCTCCGCGTTTCTCCAATACGATCTCGCCGTCATAATCACAGGAAAAAGAAACTTTGAATTTCGTAACATTGACTGGAGCGCTTCAGAATAATTTTCATCTTTTGTGTCTCCAAAAAAATCGTTTTTTCAAACGGGCGCCGCATTTGATGGAATAAAGATCTCTAAGAGATTTTGGCAGCTTTCAATGCATCATTTCATCCCCTCCCTGCGCAGTCAATGGGCTCTCGGAAAATAACCAAAATCTGCAGCTTGCGCTTTTTGAAATGTCACGTTTCACATTTTTCTAAATTTTTATATCAATCCTCCATGGAGGATGAAAAACAATTTTTCTCTTCCTTCCATGACTCGTCATACTTTTTAACAGATTTTTGATTGATGCTACCAATTTCCATGCTTGGTCAGCCAAACCCGTAGAACATCAAAGCGAGAGCAGCTCGGGTGCTTATGCAGCTTTTTGTCCTCTTCCTAATAGGTATTTTTTGTTTCTAATTCGTTTAGTTTTCCGGAATAATATCGTCATAACACATGTTTTTGAACGCGCCCCAGGCTGTAACCGAAAACTCGATATTTCAAATCCGTAGTCTCTCATTTGCTTCGCAAAATTAGTGCTAAATCATAGTCATTGAACTCCGAATAATCATAGGTGTTTGATGCGATTGTAGCTGATGTAGACCTGCCCAAATCTGACGGTTTTGATTGAAAAAAAAATTGAAAAACTATGGCAAGCTATAAAAAAGAGAAAAAAGTTGTACTGTACCCAATAAAGTTTGCGCTATAGAATCGCTACTTGAACTCCTTTGGAGGATTGGTATACAGATCTAAGAAAACTGTGAAAATTGACCTTCTCAAAAAGCATGGTTCCAGATTTTGGTTGTTCACCCAGAGCTCAGTGATAACCAGAAAGAGGATGAAATACTGCATCGATGCTACCAAAATCTCCTAGAAATCTTCATCCTATTAAATGCTTTTGGAATGACATATTTGTCACCCTTATAGCAATCAAATACACTGCTGTTCATAATTATACGAACACCTCAAATTTTAAAACTTTCTGAACTATTTGGAAGAAATTCAAAAAGCCGTTGGTACCACGCGATAGAACACAGCCGAAAAGTGTATACGATCCACAAGAATAGAAATGATGTCAATCTTAGTAGTGTTTTTGCGCCTAATGCGAGTTTTGAGCGGTTCATAGTTATACGAACACCTCAAACAAAAGTCCATTATTCATTCAAGGTTGCAATCTTTCGAGTCCAATTTTTCTCTAGAGTTACAGTAACAAAATCTGAGACTTCTGCTACACACTGGACCCAGTGCAGTTCAAAAAAAAAGAGGTTACTTATTCAAGATGGCCCTAAAAATTTTGTAGTAATTGCGCTCCAAAAACGTTTTTTTGGTTTATACGCACTCTAATTAGCTTCTACCAAGTCTATGAGATACAACAAGCTTTTAAAATTTGGGGTGTTCTTATAATCATGAACCGCACTGCACTTAGACAATTTTATAAAAACGGTATCCACGATAGGCATAACATGAAGCCTTAATGTTATTGTGGACCAGTATGAGAATACATACGGCGATTTAAAATGGGCATTATCAAGCTCACCAGCTAATAACAGCTCAGAGTAGGGAACATCAGAATGAGATTGCAAGTAAGAAATAAATTGAGTGATATGAGGAGCGTAGTCTTACAAAGTTTGCTAGCCAATGTTTTAGGAACTGCATCTTCTTATCTGATGGTATTCATGGTAAATAGTGTAGTTTTTGTATTCGTTACTCAGATGCAGTAGCATAGTTTCCCCAAAAAGCTTTATTTGGCCGATAAGACACCGGCTTCTTTGTAATTCTCTCTATCATTTCTTTGCTGTTCATGAAAATATGCAGTAGTTTGTAATAGTGATACAAAATGTCGCACTTTTGCCTTGAGGCTTCTTCTCATTTGCACGTTTTAAAGAGATGGAACTGTCCAAATGATACTTTTACCTAAGGCATAATTTTGTGAATGTTACATTAACGAGGCTCCCTCATACTTCTTTATTTCACGCGAGTGACAGGGGGTCCATCTGAATTTTTAGCTGCGTGTAATGTTGTGACTAGCATTTGTAACCATAAAACACTGCAAACTATACCATATACCAAAATTCGAGAAGTGTATGAAGAGTGACTTTCAGTTTCTAAAAGGCGCTTACATTGACAAGTACAGCATTAGATATATCTAATCGTTTATGAGTATGCTACTAGCCAGAGGACAAAAATTCCCCTGCTGGGAACATGAGACAATGAATGCAGCAAACATGAATTCTTTGCTGCTTGAATTTCAATGAAATGAAGCATGCGAGTGAACAAATGATGACGGACATGAATCACAGAAAACTTCGATAGCAATGTTATATTCTTAAACAATCCAGAAAACAATTAACCGCTATTATTACTAGGCTAAAAATAAGGCAATAGTTGTCAAATTGAGAAAGTTCGTGCTACAACTTTGATCTCCAATCTCCTTGCCCACTTCTCCCCTCGCTTCCTCCTTTCTTCTTCTGGAACATGCGTACTATATGATGCTTTTCGGAGAAAAAAACTAAGCACAGTAAAACCAGCTAAAAACTGTTCCTAGTTTAACAAATTGACGAGCGAGCAATGCCAAAAACTCCTTATGTCTGTGGTCTTATCTAGACTCTCAAAAATGCGTTGATAATGAAGTAGCCCTAGTTTGCAGGGATCTGAATTTTGCAGAAACTCATGTACGCAAAAATAAAGAGATGTGAGGCAGGAAGAAGGACGTGTGATTAGGAACCAGAGAAAGTATGCTTTTGAGCTATGCTCCTTTCTCCATTGCTAGTTATTCATTTATTTATTTCAGTACACTCAAGGTGCGCCATAAAAGAAAAAATAGCAAACCAACTATGGTCAAACGAAGAAAAAAGCTATCTGCTCAAGGCCTGGCAAATTTTTCTGAACAATCTTTCAGATTATCCTAGCTAAGTTTTCTTCATCAAAAGAAGTCTACTCTATTCTTCCTTGACTTTGAGGTCATCCACAGTGAACGAAAGAACTGTGATCTGTTTTGGATCAAACACGTATGGTACATTGTCTTCAGAACAAAAAAGATGTCGATTTTTGCTTTAGCGTGGAAAGGGACGATTACTAAAGCTAAAAGATTTCCCATTTCAAACATAAGCAAGTGATATACAAGAATACAGCCAAGGAGCGAGCGGGTGAACTCTCAAACGGTAGCGATAAAACTCAAAAGGAACGGGTGCGAAATTTGGCGCGGTTTTCAAGTTTATCGCTTTCCGATTGCTTTTAGAAGTTTCGGTGATACCATTCTGAAATACGTAAGGAGAAAAAGTGTGTGTCTGAAAAATCGCCATTCAGGTTTACCCTACAGTCCTTCGAACAATGTGTTTAATCACCGCTGGGGGAAGCAGGGGGGGGGGGGGAGGAACTGTTGCAAACTGTTGTTTATTGCTGATGATCTCTTGTTCCATAAGCAAATTCGCCCCTTTACTTTTTTTTCGAAAAAGGCTGCTGAAGTCATAAAAGGATCGGTTACTTTATTAGAAACTCTTTTCACCAGTAAATGCACTTTGATGGTGTCATGTAAATAAAACATGCAAAATAGTTAATCTTGATATAGTACAGAAAACAAAATGCGTATAAAACCCGTTTTAGCACTTGGCTAGTATTTTCTTCCCTTCATCCACTCGATCACGTTCATCTTCGTCTGTCGGCGTAAGAGCAAGTAATTTATTACAATATTTCTTGGTATTTTCCCAAAAAAGTTATCAGTTTTTCTCCCTCCCCTTACTTCAGTAAGGAGTTCATTACCTTGTCGTTCTTTGCATAGTAAATACGAACAATGTAGATGAGATTTTCAATCCACTAAGGCTTTTCTTCCTCAGCGGCTAAGAAATGAACCAAAGCTTCATCCATAGTAGCTGAAGGTGGCCTGGCGTAAAAAACAAGCAGCCTAAATTCCTTAAATTTTCTGCCGAACTCAAATTTTTCTTGAAATAGAAATTCACCTTCCGCTCAAACCAGGAGAGACTAGCAACTGAGTAAGAGTATCTTCCTCGCATATGTAGCAGAGTAAATTCTCTGGCTTCCATTCCTAAGGCTTTATCGAGGAGTTCCTATAAGTGAGCTCTATCAAAATCACGTTAAAAAAATTCCCAAAAAATTGTCTACCTCAAACTTTCCTCCTTTTTCGATACGTTGCTTAGTGCTTATATAATCAGTAGATTTTCCTGTCATGATGGCTGTCCATTTTAGTGCTTGGAAATCATCTTCATTCGCTTAATAACCTTCCAGAGCGTAAGATTTTCCTAAAGAAAAAATGTTGAAACTCCCAACCCTCAAAAATCAACTCCTTTTTCCTTCCTTTATCACTCGTGCGCGCAGCAAGTTCATAGCAGAATTTGGCAAGTCTCCAAAGCAATTCGGATGAATTCTCGCTGGCGTCGTAACGCTAGAGAAAGAGAACAGCTTTAGCGAAAGGAATAATCATACTGGGGAAAAATCCAGCAGCAGCCCCTTTGCACCATTACAGTACATTACCGTAACACTGA